CACGCTCTTGTAGCCAATTCCCAACAAGAAGCCACCACCATGTGCCACTATCACCTTACTCAGGTTTGGTTTTCCCCCAAACCCCCAGTTCAAAACCAGAACAGGCCAGGGCTCAGCTTTAATGAGATCATCTTTTCTCCATCCTTTTCCCACTCTCCTTCCTTTGCTTCTCTTGTAAAGCAACATCAAATAAACAGAGCTGTATCTGACAGAAACCCACTGTTCCTTAGATGCCAAGAATATTTAAACCTTGTCACAAACAGGAGGATCAAGGGAGACTCACAATCATGCACACAAAAAGCCAGCTAAAGAAACAGATTTTTATCTTACCATCTTAACATATCAAATAGTAACTTTAACCAGAAACTGGCCATGGATTTTCTCATGTCTCCTTGTGCAGACCATGTGATATTTTGCTTTCTCCTGGAACCACAGCAATCTGTGATCATACACTGAAGAAATATGTATCTTGACAGGATGGATAGTGCAAGAATAAAGGCAGCAGGACTGGCAGGATCTACTCAAAATGTGGGGTGTTTGCCACATCCCACCAGCACAGGCATCTTTTTTTGCAGCATATAGTGTCTATCTGCGAAGCAGCAAGTTCATTGAACTGCAGGGCTCTGCAGCTCCAGCCTGTCTGGCAGGAACTCCAGCTGCCTTCAATATCAGTTTGAATCAGGACTCTCTTGCTACAGAGCAAAGCGGGCTGCAGGAAGGGAAAAACATGGTCACCGAGCGCTCCAAGCAGCCGGACAGCATCAGGAGTAGCTGGACCCTAAATCTGGTCATGTTTTATTTTGCTTCAGCCTTTTCCAAAGGTGAGGACAGCAGAGCTGGGTAACTCCATCTTCCCACTGCTCTCCCCTGGAGCAGGAACTGCGGCTTCCCCAAAGCCCTGTCCTCCCTCCCGATGAGGGGACACTCAAGTCCTCAGCACTGGATTGATATTCCCTGGGGCAACTGCTCCCTACACATCTACATGGCCAAGTCATGTGAGACGAGCTGGAGCCCACCCTCAGGGCCTGCCCTGCACTTTTTGCCAACAAAAACCCTGAATTTGGGCTCACTGGAGCAGCGAGCCAGCATGGACACTGCTCCTTCGCATGAGCCAAGTGCTTCCGCCTTCTCCTGCGCTGCTCAGATGCGTCTCGTGGCCACTCTGCAGCACCTTAGCTGAGTTCCTACCTTTGTGAAGGGACTGGGCTGAACCGTCCCAGAAGGGCTTCCTGTGAGTCTCCAGGACAATGGAAAGGGAAGGAACAAATTTGCTTTAAGCAGTTCATGGGCAGCATAATACACCCTGTGGACTTCTGTGGCCTGCATCCAACTAGTGGGCCAGGGAACGGAGCCACTCAACAAACGCATGCTGAATTCAGCCAAAACTGTGGAGAGGCTCCCGTATTCCAGTGCTCCCAAGTTTAGTCGCTTCCTTCACCCAGCAGATCTATCATGGGCTGCTCATAGCTCATTTGTCCCTCCTGCTTCACCTGTTCCTCTTGGGAAGGCAGCGAAGGACATTACTCACCCCTGTCCCATCAACAACACAGTTCACAGCCGTTGTCACTCATTGAGAATTTACCGTTGGCACTGGTGATGCGTCACAGCGCAGGGGGCTGCAAACCTGCCTGCGGCACAGGCAAACGCTGCTCTCGAGCCTGCGGTTTCACTCCCATCCTGAGCTAGGACACCCCGTGGACCCTCCACATCACAGAATGGGGTCCAAACAGCACCAGAGGTTGTCTAGTCTGCCTGGAGTGAGCGTGGTTGAGCAGATGCAGTGAGGAGGTGTCTGTCAACAGGAGGACACGGTGGATGGACCAACATTCAAACCCTTACAATGTTCAGCACTTCCTGCGCTTCCCTTTGGATGCCACAGCCACTGCAACCAAAGCTCCATCCCTTGTGTAGCACGAAGGACTTGGCAATCGCCACCACCTGTAAGTCTCCCAAGGTGCCCACTGCGGCTTTGGGAAGAGGGCTCCTCTTCCTGCTCCATGTGCTTCATGGAGCTCAAGAATACAGACAAAAAAAAAAAAACACCAAAAAGGAGAACGATGTATACAGAGAGTTACTACTCACTGCGAGGGTTTCATAGCCAAGATACTGGGTATGAATTAAGTATGCCCGGAGGATGCATTTTTGTCCAAGTGCTGGAATGTCTTATGTATCCTCAATTATTATGGGGGGCTCAGGAGCTGCCTGTGCATACAACCCTTTGCAGAGAAAAACACAGCTCACTGAAGTGCCACTTCTAGAGAGTAGCAACCCTTCCCTGAGAGCAGATAAGAGGCTCAGGGGAAAGCAGGGATGGCAGATGAAGTCACTGCTGATGACTGTCCAAGGAGGGGACAGTGGCTTTGCCCTCTTTGGAGGCAGCCAGGTATTTATTTCCCTGCATTTCATTCCATTTATTATAAAAGAATTAATATTTTCCATGCCGTCATCGCACAGCTCACCCTGGCACTCCGTCTCCCTGCAGGGGACATGCACAGTCTGCATGACAATGTGGCAGGCAGAGCACGGAGGAGCGGGAACTTTCATTCCTTACTGGGATCTCAACTTCCAGCGAAAGGAAGGAGCTGCGGGTGCAGCTTTTTCGCTTGCTTGAATTCAAGCCAATGCACAAGAAGAGCTTTAAATAAACTGTAAGGAAAGCAAAGCATTTTCTCACATAGGCTTGTCTCAGAAAACAAAAAGCATGTGGCTGGCAAGGGCCTAAAAAGGCTTGTTTAAGCAGCACGGAGCCCAGTGCTGTACAGCCACCCCCTGACCCGCTCGAACACCCACACAAGATGAGCCCTGCGGGTCACCTGCACCTCCCGCATTGTGAAAAGTTTCCCTAATCCCAAGGCACATGGAGCACTCCTGAGCCTCATCCCACTGCACGCTCATCCCCGGGAGCCGCAGTTGGAACAGGGTGGTCAAGTGCAGGAGGGACAGCAGGAAAATCCTCTCCTGGGATCTCTCCATGGAGGAACAGACAGGGAGAGAGACAGCAGCAAATCCCATTGGCACCACAAGATCTGGCTCCCAGTTGTGCAATGGCTGATCCAGCTAGGACATGGAGCAAAACGCTGGAGTAAGAAACATTCTGCAAATGAAGAACTTAGAACGCTCGGCACAAAACTGAGGGTAAATACAAATGCAATGTCTACTAACAAGAGTCAGATCCCCTTTTCACATATTTCTGTTGCAGAGGTGAATGACAGCTCATGTTTTATGAAAGAGGCAAAGCAAGAAACACCAAGTTTAGTCATTTAAATAAAACAAGCAATCATACAATCTCCATAGCCATTACTGCAATGAAAGATAAAAAGCATCAAAAACATCTGAATGCGCTTGAAGAGTTATGGTGCCTTGCTACTTGGCAGAGCCAAATCATGAACTAACGGCCAGGAAAATACCTCCTGGTTTAGGAAAAAAAAAAAAAGCAAGAGGTTTAGGTTCAGGAACAGCAAGAGTCCGAATAGCATTTAGAGGTGCCCTGAAGAGGCTCAGGGAACAGTTTCTCCTGGGAACGAACACTGGTCCTGTCGCTTCTGCTACACATGTACACATGTCAGGGGAGGGAACAAGCACCAATGCAGGCGGGCAGCACCCAGGCTGCCAAATTTCCTCCCACAGCAGCATTAACTGAGGAACCAGCCAGGGCTCTACCAGTGCAGTGTGGTTGCAACCAAGATTGCAGCACACAAGAGCAGAGGTGACCATCCAGCAGGCTCCTCACACAGCCGGGAGTGAGAGCATCTCAGCGATCCCACTGCAACGTCTGCCCATCCTGAGCAGCCTCTTGTGAGAGGAGAAACAAGCTTGGGGAATTTGCGTCACATACCTTATGAGAGTAATGCTGATCCACAACCCTTGCTAGCCCAAAGTCACCGATCTTCAACACGAGGTCCTCCGTGCTAATGAAAATATTGGCCGGCTTCAGGTCTCTGTGGAGCACGTTGGCCGAGTGGATGTACTTAAGCCCACGGAGCAGCTGGTACATGAAGAGCTTGGCATGCTCCTCCATGAGCTTGCCCTGCTCCAGCAGCCGGGCCAGGTCTGTCTCCATGTACTCCTGCACGATGTACACCATGTTAAACTTGAAAAAGTCCCCGTGCAGCTTGGTCCCCTTGGGTCCCAGCACCTCATAGACCTTCACGATGTTGTCGTGCTCGAGCCTGCGGATGATTTTGATCTCCCGGAAGGCGTGTTTCATGCTCCGTGTGTCGCTGATGGTGATCTTCTTCACGGCCACCTTGCGGCAGCTCTTGCTGTCGAGGGCTGACAGCACCAGTCCATTCGCCCCAAAGCCCAAGGGCCGGAAGTTAACGAAGCGGCAGCCCAGGTCATAGCCGTACATGCTGGCGATGCAGTCGCACTTCTCAGCCATCGCCAGCTCGCGCCTCTTCCGGCTTTGCTGCTTTGTCACTTGAAAAACTGGGAGAGTCAAAGAACTTCCAGATCACAAATGTGTTTTGAAAGAAGGTGAGTCATTATTACTCACAGATGCTTGGGGGATTTCTTGCTCCGAGCCCATGATTACAAGGTGAGAAGGTTCCTGACATGAAGACACACTAAAAATAGATGCGAGCACACACACAAATGTTTTAAACAGGATAAGGAATCAAGGGGTAGATGAGACTTTCCAAGCAGCGTGGGTATTTCAAATGCAGCGAGGCAGCAGTGCTCTCTGTCAAAACACAGAAAGGTGATTTTCCTTGTCGCTAAGATCAGCGCTACTGAGTTTTCCAGCCGCTTTATTTTCCTTCCCCAAAGTCTCCAAGACGATGCTGAAGCGCTGGGCTCGCTCGGGCCGGGACGTGCCGTGGCAGCGAGGCAGAGCCCCAAGCTGCTCCATAGCCCCTTGCCTGTCCATCCACGAGGTGCGACAGCGTCACAGGGAATTGCATCCGGGGCCAGATCCTCAGGAGTCAGCACGGCTCTGCTGTTCTCACTGCCCCCACTTCCTCTAGCACGGACCCCATTTTCCTGCTGGCTGCTTTTCGAACTGAAACTCACTTTCTACAAGCCATGCTCAGCGCCGGAGGTTGCCACATTTGCGATGCCGACGCTTCGCCCTCGCGTGTCCTTTGTGAGCGAAGCCGAGCGCGACACGACCTTCAGAGCCAGGTGGAAGCGGGATTGCTGGAGGACTCCCCCGCATCGTGCCATCCTGCTAATCCCCAGCAGGCCTCGGCTTGGGTGCTGCAAGAGGAGCAGAGATCAGCTGAGTTGGTAACGACACCAATACGTGCTCACCTTCCTTCCTGAAGGTTCAACGCCCACAAAACCATGACCTTTTGGAAGCTTGTTAGTTGTGCTTTCCAAACACAATCGTCTTCCAGGGGTTAATCTTCCCTTTTTGCATTGAAATGCAAACGGATAATGCTTGCTTTCTGTTTTGCTGTTTTTTTTTTCTTTAATCTGTTTGCATATTTTATGAGGCAATCTGCAGAAGGCTGAGGTTGCCTAACACACGTATGTGCCCAGCTGCCCGCTTGGCCCAGATGTTCAACGGACCTGCAAGGAAACAACATTAGCAGCACACGAGGTGTGCAAGTCCTGGAGGGGAAAGCAGCTCTCGGCCTTCTTCAGTTTGCAATTAATGCAATTTGGTCTTAAAAACAACAAAATAAATTTCCCAATTTGTTTGTTTTTTTTCTCTTTTCTATGTAAATGCAAGGGAAAAGTGTTCCCAACCAGCACATGACTTGTGTCCACGTTCTGCTGCTTTCCAAGAGATTTATTAGCAGCAACTCAACTCGGATGAGAGTCAGATGGCTTGACGTCCACCAGATGAAAGGTCCTATCATGAAGCTCAGCATCAGCCCAGCTCCTGCATCACATTTAGAAATTGCTTGTTTTTAGTGCAGTTATTTAAAAAAAAATCATGTTTTTATGACAGGAGGGTGCAAGAGCAGCCTAACGACACAGCTCGTTCCCTCGTGGACATGCTGACAGCACAGTGCGTTCCTGGGACACCAGAAGAGCAGCTTCATTAAGATGGATGATGTGCATCACCACATGCCTTTAAAAAGCTGGAAGCACGGATAGAGATGACAGGATAACCGGGATGGGGTAAATGGGGACAACCGGGGGCGACCCCTCTGTGGGGTGCAAGGTTCAGCCCCGGGCCAGGAGAGCGGAACAGGTCAGCAACCAGCTGGGGTGACCTGCGATGCCTGGCAGTTCCTACTCTGCCGCAGGGAAACCCAAAGACACATTTTTCATACCCAAACTCAACAAGACCAACGCTGCCTCCTTGGGAGAACAGCCCTGGAGTTGCTTCTAAGAGCAAAGCGTTTGACACACGCGAAGTGCATCTGGACACCTGCTGGATACCTCAAGACGAAGGCTCCTGCTTCAGCCCTCTGATTCAGGCCTCCTCCTCCACAACATCAAAGTCTGAAATCATGATGAGAGCCTCAGAAATCCATCACAAACCTGAAAAACCTATTTGCGCTTTATTTGGGAATAGATTCTTGGCAATCGCTAAGCACGGTAGGTGACAAGACACTGATGGCCTCCAAGTATCTTAAGAATTTTCATTAAAAAAAAAACACTTTGCACATAATTAACTCATCAAATATACTCACGAGCTTGTCTTTCTAGCTAGACCATAAATCTCCAGGCATATACTGGGCAACCTTAAAAATCAGTCTTCTTCAGAAAGATCGGGCTGCCCTGGCAGAGCTCCAGAGCGAGGAAGGGACAGTTTTCCTAATTATTTGGATCATTTTCAGATGCTCTTGTAGTTTCTGCTTCTGACCCGAGACCTCTACAACCCAGTTCCCAAGAGTACCAGATATTCGTGGAGGAGAAAGTGCTCAGCATCTCAAATCCCTGCCCCTGGATGTCTCCAGGGGGCCATTCACTACCGTACCCAGAATCGGAAGCAGGAGAGTGTCTAAAGCTCGGAAGAAGTGGTCAGAGCTTCAAGGCCAAGAGGTCTCCAGGCTGGTGACACCTGCAAGGCCATGGTGGCAGCCAGGCCCAGGGGATGTGGGTAACGTTCCCAAGGGTGGTGGATGTGGGAAGTCGGTCATTGCAGAAACATGGGACTCACTTCCCTGGATGACTCTGCTCCCCAGAGCAGGGCAAAACAGGGAAGTTGGGCCTTGCTGCTAAGCTCCCATGTGGCGCCTGCTGCCACTTCCCAGAGATCCTGCCCGGTTCACTCCTGGAGCAGTCAGGAACCAGACCTTAAAGTCTGCACGAAAGGACAATTCATGCATTGATGCCAATAGGGCAGGCACTACTTTGGGAACATTAGCCTAAAAATGCATGAAAATTCAGTTAATAAATTCCAATTTGTGCACATGTTCCTAATTTTAGCTACATTTATAATTCCCGTCAGGCATTTGCTCATGCTCAACCAATGGAGAGCGCTCTAATCACCTCCTGCACTTCCATCCTCAGCTTTCTAACCCCTAATAACTGGGGGACTCTTCCAGGAACTTCCATGCTGGAAGGGAGATCCCTTCCACCCTTGGCAACAAGCTCAACAAGAGCAAGGGGAGCCAAGATCACGGAGTCAAACCGTGTGGGGGATCCTTACAGCGCCTCTTCCTATTTTCATGAGGCTCCTTTCACAATGAAGACATTTCTCCTGTTAGTTTTTGACACATAATTATCAGTCAGCCCTTTAAAAAAAAGCCTCAGGAATAAAAGAAGCAAAAAAATCATTAAAATGAAAATAAATAAATAAAAGACCCAAGGTCCTGCAGCCTGGCTGACAAAGAACTGCCAACACTTCCAAGAAAAGCCTTGAGGTAGCGGCTCCTGGTTTGATCCCCACGTTTTTGATAACCTCTCTATAGCAAAGAGTGAGCTCCAGCCTTGCAGGAGGGGTCGTTTGGGGACTTTGCTTTCAGTATCAGAGACCTGCTGTTAAATGCAGTCTAAATACATAGCATGCTCCGAGCACCCCTGGAGCCGGCTGCTGGGGAATCAGGAGAAGTTTTACCCAGATGATCAGTTTTCAGCCCAGTAAACAGGTAAGAAGCCGCCTACAAGTTAGAGCAACCCAGGCTCAATCTGCCTCTGCATCCTCCCTTCAGCTCCCCAAAAGGAACCCCTAGAGTCTTCCCTGTGAGCATCCTCCCCAGGCCCTTGAGCTCCTGGTAAGGAAACCCAGAGCCCGATACATAGCAGCTGATCCATCTGATAGCCAAACTGGAATTTCTCCCTGAAATAACCTCACTGTTGCAGCTTGGAGCGGGTCAGGAATGCTAGACAGCAACTTCATAGAAGCTGGAACTGACTTCATTTATTAGCATACATGTAGTACATTTATATGATTCTAGCAGTTAGTGATGTAATTACACAGGCTCCTAATTGGTAGACAATGATCTAACTAAGACCCTTACAGCCCCCCTTACTTGTTTAGCTCATCCTTTTAGTTCAACAGCTCTTTTATTCCCTCTGACCTTGGTCTACTTCCTTATCTCCTAGTTAGCAGTCCCTTTGTTCTTTCACTGAAACCTGAAGGCTGGAATTGAGCAGGCCTGCTGGGCAGCCATGTCCGCGCCTCTCTAACCATTCCTCTACAATTCCCCCTTTTTCTTTAGATTAGGTGAACCCAGGAAGCAAGCCAGCCTTGAGGTGTCAGATTCGGATTGCGTGAAAAAGCAGTTAACAAATGTGACATTAAAGCACGCGAACAGATACAAGCAGTATTTTATCCATCCCTCGATTCCCAACCAGTCCGTTAGTCCATCTAGACCG